ACTTAGCCCAACAGAAGCCAGCACCTTATAAATGCCGCCGCTGATGCAACTTCATGCCCAGCACTTGCCTCAGGGATACCCGGCCCAAATCCCAGGAGGCCAAGGACCAGCACCATGACAACCACAGGAGACGGCTGCCCTGGCCTCGGCGGAGAAGACTCCGTGCTAGCATTCTAGCCCTCCTCCACCTCTATCTTTCTTGGGGCCATGTGGGTTTAGGGTTGACGGTTGAGGGTTTAGGGTTTAGGGTTTAGGGTTTAGGGTTTAGGGTTTAGGGTTAGGTCGTTGCTGCACGCTAGGAGGAGGTTGGCACTGCGAGCATCACCGCTCCCCTGGCCGACCCCTGGATGGGATCCCAGTGCACTTCCAGCAGACTCGGCAGTCCTTGAGACCGACCTTCACCAGAAACACAGCGGGGCTCCGATCGTTTGTTTGCGATCTACCCGAGCCCGATTCGGCTGCATGAGAGGTATCCGGTCGGAGGCAAGATGAAGATTGGGTCGGGCGCTAGTGCTCTGCGGGCCCGCAATCTGCGGCAATGTGCTTAGATGCTCCGCCACACAAGGCTGTCTGCGGCCTGAGTGTCGGGACACGGCAGAAGTGCTTAACTGTCACAGAACCCCCGGACGAAAGCCACAAGCGGTCATCCCTGCAGGTCTTCTTCAACGAAAGCACGCCGGCTGCCGAGACGCACACGAGGATTTCGGAAACAGGGCATCGCAACTCGCGCTTCTGGTGCTCCATCCCTGAAACCCCGAAACATCCCCTAAGCATCGAAGCTACATGCTCCGGGGTCTTCGTGGCTTCGCGCAGAAAAGGTGCCGAAACGTGGTTGGGCACAAGGCGTCCGAAGAAGCCCTGTGAGGGGGTCGGTATAGAGAAGCCCTTAGGCTTTCAAGAGCACCGAAGAGGCGCTGTGCGATCCCTACCCAAAGCAAGCGGGCCATGTCTCCAGCGAGTGCCTGTGAGTGGTGCCGCGGCTAGGAGCACGAATGTTTTCGGGCAGCTGAAAGGGACCGAAGAAGGTTCCCCGGAAGGGCAAGAGAGCGGGCCGCCCCCGAAACCCTAACGAACCTCAAGCCTCCCAGCACTGGGACGTCTGTTACGACTTCAGGCTCGATTGCCTGGGCTGGCTTTCGGGGGGTTCCCCCACATACCCTTTGCAGGATGCAGGACTCGGAAGCCCGAGTATCACCAAGAAAGCTCAAATCTCAGGGCCCGGAATGGCTTGTGGATGTTTCGAAGGCTTGGGCTCTACGTTCCCCCGCAGCAGCGCAAAGCGATAGGCCCTGCCACAGAGAGGAGGTCGGACTTTCAAAAGGGCTGGACTTGGGTTTGAGGGTTTTAGGGGTTCAGGGCTTTCATACTTGCAGGGGCATGATGGCTGCTGACCGCTCTGGCTCTAGGGGTTTTGGGGTCGAAGCTGATCATGAATCAGCTCCACAACCCCTAGTCTCAGTTGACAGCAAGGGTATCGCATTTCCAGCTTTGGGCCACATTTGGGCCCTCTAGGTCATCATTTGGAGTCGGCCAGCAGGCTTCACGGACGGCGAAAAAGCGGGACAGAGGGCACCGGAGCCGCACAGGCGAGCGCAAGGCTCTCGCAAGGCCAGGACGCCAGGCAGTGCCAGCGCACAGATGGCACGCTGTTCCTTCTCAGTCTGCTCATGTTGGCCTTGGCTGTGGGAATGAGAATGGCCACACTGGCGTGGGATTTCAAGGTGAAAGTAAGTGGACGTGCAGCGTGCAGTGAGGGTCTCCTCCACACTCCTGAATCCACAGGTCGGGGCAAGGAGCCCCTTAAAGAGCCCTGTCGAATCACCTTAGGACTATAAGAGCGACCTCAGTGTGTGAAGGAGAGAATATCTGACCTGAGGCTTCCTAAAGCAGCGGAAGGAGGAGCCTTGCGAGGCACGCGGCTGCGAAAGTTGGCGCATCGCTTTGCTTCTCAACAGCTTAGAACTGCGCTGCTCCTTGCAGCCAAAACCGGCCCACGATTCAGATCAAGCCCCCAAGTGTGGGGGTTGAGGGTTCGGGGAAGCCCTAGAAAGCCCCGAAATCTGACGCAGCAAGTCTTTGAAACCAGGGCTTCCAGCTGCCGCAGGCAGGAGTGTCCTCGCCCGAGGCGCCAGGGACACCGGAACTGAGGGGCGTCAACATTCTTAGGGGCTCAAAAGGGGACCCGGCTACAACTCTGCCCGAAAGCCCCTCCCTCCCGCTAAAGTCGCGGAGAGCTTCGAAGCCGCAGGGGCCGTAGGGGAGAAGCCCCTAGACCCTCCTCCACCCTCAGCCTGATTGCGGTGGAGGGTTCAGGGGCTTTTGGGGTCTAGGGCCTAGGGCTGATGAGTCTAGACCCCCAAGTAGGAGCCTCATGATCATCCCGGCGAACCTTAAAGCACCCAAGCCTCGAGGCAAGCCTCCTTCAGGCCACAGGGGGCTCTTGACTACCTCTTCTCATGGTCTAGGGTCTTTAGGGTTTAGTAGGGGTTCAGGGTTGAGGGTTGAGTCAAGGCTTATGGCCACAGGGCATCTGGGGCTCCTTAGAGGGGGAGCTTTTTCGCTGAAGCTCCGGAGGGCTTTAGGGGCTCTTGGGGTGAAGTATAGGACTGTAGGACTGTAGGAGGGCTTTTAGGGCCTTAGAGTTGACTGGCTCCCTCGGCGCCGCCCGACCGCGTGAGCGCGACATCTACGACGACTCATTCAGAGACAGTGTCTCTGCCTCAAGGCGTGGCTGAGAGGCCGTGGCCCTCTACCCCAAACCTTAAGCCTTAAACCCTGAGACCTTCAAACCTTAAGCTCTAAAGCCCCTAAAGTCTCTAAGCCCGGAGATTGCTTGCAGATGGCCGGGTAGGCGAGCAATGGTTCAAGCACTCCGATCTGCTGGGTGCCTTGCCAGAGCATCACACAACGGCTATGACACATGCTGAAGTGCCAAGACCTGCTCGCAGCCGCAGGTGTACATGAAGGTGATTAGGAGAATGATTTCTCCCCATACTTAGTAGTTGGACCGTCTGCCAAATGAAGCGTCAGCTAATGGATCAACGAGTTGGAGAGGGGGTGATTCTTAAGGATTTACGAGGTTGCTCGTAGGGGTTGATAGAGGCCTTACAGGCTTTGATTGGGTCTTTTGCGTTTTGCAAGGAAGGCCATAGGTGTGCAAAGCGTCACCCCCCAAACAAAACAAGTGAGATGTCGCGAAGCTCCTCACGCCAGACCCAGAAGCATACCAGCAGGGCTCTCTAAGTTACGGCCCTTCTCTTGCTCCCTCAAACCCTAAACCCCAGTGTTGGGGATTTGGGGTTAGGGTTTAGGGTAAAAGGCTTAGGGCTCAGGGTACTTGGAGAGACCTCTGGCGGCACGCTTGCGTCTTCACCTCTGGCAGCCGCATGCGGCCGAAGCTCATGGATCTGGGTTCAAAGATGCCAGCTACAAGACCCCCCAAGCCCCCTAAACCCTAAACGCGTGAAGTCTAAACTGCAAACTGCAAACCCCGAAACCCCAAACCCTTTGAGCCCCAAACCCTAAAGCCTGAAACCAAGCATGAGGTCCGAGGCAGGACTTCATCGTCGCTGACACCCCCATCGAAACTTTTCAGGCGAAGTTCCTGGGTGCGTCGGGCCTGCAAAGCAGAGGATGCAGGGTTGAGGCTTTAGGGCTTGCACTGCCTCTGCATACACAAGTACCTTTCAACTGGTCTGAAGAGCGTGCGTGCACCTGAAGGCGCCTTTCAATTTTGAAAACATGGCACCGAATGCTGGGTCTTTTTGTTCGGGGTCTCAGATTGGAGGGCTTTGTCGCTGAGACTTTTCCAGAGCTGAGTCCGTTCGTGAAAACTGCACGCTGACCACACGCCTCACCTCCTTATGCCGCAGCGGCATCAGCAACATCTGCACCTCCGTTCATGCAGGTCTGGGAGATCATCTCTAAAGAAGCCAGCCGCCTGTGCCGTGCTAGACTCCCAGGAGCAGACTGCAGGGGTACTGGGTGCACGGGGTAAGGTGTCTGTGAGGGGAGCCCTGCTGGCTACGTCTTTGCGTGTGTGGACGAGATCCTCATGCTTGGTGTTCAGAAGTCACGAAAGGACTCGAAACTGGATCACTGCCTGCTAAGAATGTGATGAACAGAGGGAGACCACGCGGTAGATGGGATAGACGGCAACCAGGAAACTATTCCTCTTCTTGGAATGGACATTCGTCGCGGCGAAGTTCGTGGAGAAGCTGTTGAGAGCTCACGGCGCCCAAGAGACCCTCAGTTTGACTTTCACGCCAGACGCGGCAGCTGAGCTGTCGCCAACTCAGTGGTTCGGGCCTTAGGCGTTCAGGGATCGTCGCATGGGCGGAGCTGTGCCGGCAACTGACACGGCCAAGAGATGCGGAGGGGTCCCAAAGGAACCGGCAAAGGGCTCCATCAGCCTCCGTGAGCTTCTCTACACATGACGGTCCCTCAGTGGGATCCGAATGCAACACGGAGCCTCCGATATGGGACAAAGGGTCCGTCAAGGATGTTCGGAACGCCCGAGGTCGCAGAATTCCCAGCTCCCCAGCTGTCTAAGGCCCCGTAGCTCAAGGAGTGATAGCCCAACAATTTGCAGGTTTTGGGGGGTTGCTGGTTTCTGCCTAACCCAAGCTTGACAGCAGGGGCAGGGGCCCATACCCCTGGCAACCTGTCAGAGACCCGGCCGAGCCAGCGCAGCAACCCTCAACCCTAGAGTTTCGAACTCTTCACACAAATACTTTCGTTGAGAGCTGCCCTGCCGGCACTCTGCACACATAAATGCAGCTGGACAGGCCAACCTCCCTGGAGACCAGGCCAGCGGCGTGGCAAGAGAGTGTAGCTGAAAGGGCTGCGCAAGGTGCTTAAGGTAGGCATGGTTTAGGGCAAAGGGTCTAGGGTTTAGGGTCTGGCCGCATCAGCAGGTGTCTGCATGCCAGTGCACGGACCCGTGTGGTGCCCAGAGCAAGGTTGGCACGTTCAGGCTTAGGGCTCAGGGCTCACTTCGCATGAGCCGATACACCAGCTGGGCGCTGGTACTGGGAGGTTCTCCCAAGTCGGTCGAAGCGACCGTGTCCTCCAGCAAGCCTGAGCCAGAGCAGTGTGGAAGACAGGTCACTCAAGCAAGACAGCCCAGACCACTTCATGGAATCCGCTATCACTGGGAGGGCCTCTTCAACTTAGCAATGCAAGCTTCACGACGGAACGGCCGCTGCCCTAGCCCGCGCAAGCGCACCGCGCGCTTGAAGGCATGGGCATTGAAGTCTCTTCGGTCTCGCAACTCGCAACCCACAATTTCTATCGATTTCTGCCACATTTCGCTGAGGAGTTTGCCCTCAGAGAGGAGCTTCGCAGCAGAGTTGGGCTCCGGCGCCTTCTTTGGCATCTTTGTGCGCGACTAGGCTCTGAGGACGGGGATCAGCTGGGTCTCTGGGCAGCCCAGACGAACTCCTGCCTTGAAGAGCGTACAACTTTGGGGGATGGGAGCTGTATGTATGAAGAAATCCAAAACGAAAGCAACCGCACATGGCAGCAGAACGGGGTTGGCCCGCGCGGAGCTTCAAGTACTCGAAAAGACGCTTACGAAGCAGAAATCAGCTACGACTCTACGAAGAAATGCTTGACTGACCCAAGCCGAGGCCTGAGTACACTACGGTAAAAGATGCGAGGAGCAGCTTGACGGACCCAGGCGGAGGCCGAGGCAGACGTCTGACCTAGGGAGAATACGCAGGAATAGAGCCGTTGCCAGGGAGCAAAGGGCAATACCGGACGAGCTCACGGACCTCCTCGGGCTGAGAAAGCTACTGCCCGACGATACAGCGACCGCGAGGGCATGAAGCTTCTTGGGTGAGTTCTGCATCCTGCCTTCAACAGGCAACATGGAGTTCTGAAACTTCTCTGCCGAGAGCACGACTGCAGTTACAGATTCCTCAACGCATGAGGGGTGAAGTTGGTGCCAGAGCCCCCTATCAGCCCGAACAACGGGAGAAGCTTAAGCTTCCTAAGCCCTGCAAGCGACTAAGAGGCTGACGCCTGCCGACCGGCGAGGCCTGCCGCTTGAACCCTATCCGCCCCAACGGCGGCTGTGTGAACATTCCTCGCCCTAAACCCTAAACCCTAAACCCTAAACCCTAAACCCCGGGGGATCCTGCAAGTCAAGGCCACGGTCTCCTGGCTCCCTGAAGCCGGGCCCTGTACCCTTTTGTCTTCTCCGTACCCCGAACCGAACCCTGGAAGCAAGTGAACCTTAAAAGGGTTCATGGTTCATATACCTTTAGAGGGATTCATAGTAGTATGGGGTATCTGGGACTTTAGGGCTTAGGGTCTAGGGCTTGGGGCCCTCAGCATCGGGCCATCCCGATCGGTGCGGGATGGCTTGCTTCATAGGCCGAAGGAGAAGGCATGCTCCGTCGAGCGAGTGTGCCCGAGCCTGAGTGGCGCCGCTTGTTGCGCAACCTTTGTGCGCAAAGCATCCTTTGGAAGACTACGGCCACCGTCAGAAAGCCTTGCGACAGGCCTTCGGTCACACCCCAGACCTGCAACTTGAAGCTTTCGGATCCGTGCCAGCGAGGTGAGCTGCTCCTGGCAGTACTTCTTTCGATCTGTGCACGCTGTCGTTTGGAGTCTATTGTGACCTACCTGTACCACGTTCTTGCTTTTTACCACTATCAGTGCTATTCTTGCCCATCGTGTTTAGCTCAGGGCCTACAGGTTTTGGGCTATCTTCAAAAACACACAGCGCTTTTCGAGATGAGCTTCCAAAAATGCTAGCCTGTGGGCGTATGTTCCCCACAATTTGGGTTGCTGATTCAGATCAAGCCCCACATGGAGGTTTCCGAAAATAAGGGGACCCCTAATATAGACCCCCAAATAGTAGGATCCCTTAAGAAATACGGACCCCAAGAAGGTACCCCGAATTTCGGAAACCTCCTATGCTAACATGCTCCTGACGGCTCACATCGAGCTCCGCGATGCGCGCCGGTTCTTCTCGACACAGAGCTCCAGGGGCCTGGCTCTGACATACGGCTTAGGGTTTAAGATTTAGATATGGTTTAGGGTTTAAAATGTATATATGGTTTAGGGCTTAAGATTTACATCTGGTTTAGGGGTCTCCCCCCCAACTCCCCCTGGGTGTGGTTGGGGAGTTGGGGCAGGGTTCAGGGTTTAGGGTTTAGGCTTTCGGGGTCACCCTGGACCCTGATGGGAGCCAAACGAAAGCAGGCAGCGTCGGCAAAGAAGAGCTGAAGCCGCGACCCTCAACCTGCAACCCTAAGCCCCCAAGCTCACAACCCGCTTCGCAATTGGGTAGTAGAAGCAGGACCCCAAAAGAGCTACCCTAATTTTACACAAATACCCCCCCCCGGTGACTCCTCTCATCCGTCTGCTCTCGCCTCGTTCGCCTAAAGAGGATGGAAGCAATCAGGTAGCTCTCCAAGCGGCCCAGGCCTTCGAGCAGCGAGCACAGGGTTTCGGGTTTGGGGTTTGGGGTTTAGGGTTTAGGGTTTAGGATGTAGGGTTTAGGGTTTAGGGTTTTTTTTCGGGTTTAGGGGGTTTCTTGAGGACAATATGGAACAATGAGAGCTGGATTTTCATACTTTATAGAGCTTAAGAGCAAATTATGAAGGCCCTCTTCTGGTTTCAAGAACAACTAGTATTGGGTTTTCAAGGGTTTGGGATTTATGGTGGCTGAATCGGCGGAAACTAGGGGAGCCCCGTACCTAACTGTGCTCAATGAATCCTGAACCCAACTTCTAAACCCTAAACCCTAAACCCTAAACCCTGAACCCGAAAAACTGGGGCCCTGAGGGTGTCTCTGAGCTGCCGGCGGAGCGCCGCCTCCTGCGCATGGCGAGCCTTACAGGGGGGCTTTGGGGTTTAGGGTTCGGGGTTTAGGGTTTAGGTTTTAGGCTTTCGGGTTTAGGGTTTTAGGGTTTAAGGTTTAGGGTTTAGGGTTTAGGGTTTAGGGTTTAGGGTTTAGGGTTTACGGTTTACGGTTTAGGGTTTGCTTTGGTGGATCTTTGGGGTTTGGGGAGGTTTTCGGGTTTGGGGTTGAGGGTGTAGTCGCGCAACCTTAATGATCGGACCAGGTTCAACCCCAAGAATGACTAGTAATCGGAGCGCTTGTCAGAAAGATCTGCCCTTCAAAAAACACGACCACACTTTGTAACACCGTCCCCAAAGCATCTAGAAAACCCTAAGCCTAAACCCTAATCCTAAACCCACATGTGCCCCTGACCTGTGCCATCTTCCCCCTGTAGCAGGGCCATCGCTCAAGGGATGCCATGAGTGCTATGGTCTTGGGTTTTGAGGAGGATCTTGGGCCTGGTGTTTCGGGCTTAGGGTTTAGGCTTTAGGCTTTGGGGTTTGGTGGTTTAAGCGGTTTAGGCGGTGCAAGTCAGCCGCGGTGACACTTGCAAAGAAGAGCTCGTGTGATGCTCTCTGACGTGAAGCTCAGTGAGACAAAACGAAGCCCATGCACTTGCACGCTCATCTGCTTAGTGCTGCCTGCCCTTGAACCACTCAAGCACCAAGTTTCTTCGCTGTTCGTGACCCAGATCATACAAGGGAACCAATGGAATGGCTTCATCATTCGAAGCTTGGCAAATCATGCCACACCGGAGTACTGGGTGGCGTGCAGCAGTGTCAGGATTTGTGGGGTTCGTTCAGGGAAAGGCCACACAGCCCATTGCACGGCCCGAGCCCGACATTCGGATTGACGTAGCGTCAAAGTGCCAACCACAGGCTTCACAGATGATGACAAAATGGATGCATTGTTGCGCCAACGTTCCCACCTCCTAACAATTTACTTATTGGCCTGGGAGCTTCACCCATGTGACCCACCATGGGCTGGGCTTCAACAAGGTAGCAGACACCATCCGACATCCAGAAGCAAATGCACGACCCTCCAAACTGTAAACATCGACGGGCATCAAGGACACACAAGACATTGCCACAGTGACCTAGCTTCCAACCGCTCGAAAGAGAACACGTACACAATCCTCAACCCTAAGCCCACAGCATTCGGCACCACTCTGCCAACGTTTGTCAGAAGATGGCCCTGTGAGACGTGATCGGAAAATTGCCTCGACATGAGACATGCAGATCCCTGGTAGGGGTATTCCACGGCTTTGAAGGTAGAGGCATGCACCTGTTGCACTGTGCAAACGAAGCCAACCGCCCCAAAATCCATTGGACGAGGAGCGGAGCCGTTTCCTTCATCAAGGGCAGCCGACAACTCCAGTACGAACCTGAGGGACAATGAAGAACTCTCAAAGGGGTTGATGGTCCATCTACTTCTAAGGGGAATCGAGTTGGACGGGGTAGGTGACCCCAGCTTAGGGTTCGTTCGCTCCCCAAGATACCTGACATGCATCCCGGGATACAGCGGAAAGGTCCTGCTCTGCACCGCTAAAGACTCCATGCTGCGTCGGTCCACGCCGCCGCACGCAGAAATTGTCCCGTGCGCAGCAGTGGCTGCAAGCTGTGTCCTTCCATGGCACATGGTAGGGCCGTAGCCCTTCGGAGGAGAACTGCCAAGATAATGCACTACAAGTCCATGATGACGCTTCTCAGAGCTCCAAACCACCAACTTGGCCACTCTGCAAGAAGTGGGTCTGTGTGTGCCTTCCAGTTTCTCTTCTGTGGACAGCGCGCATTGGCGAATAACGCGCGCTTCTGCTGGTGGCGGCGCTTGCCTGCACAGGTGAGTGGCCGCAGCTCCTGCCTTTGCGAGACGCTTACCTGCGCAGGTGAGCGTTTCCCGGGGCCTGCACTGGCCTTGCCTTCAACCCTAAACCCTAAACCCTAAACCCTAAACCCAAACCCTAAACCCAAAACCCTTAATCCAAAACCCTTAACCCAAAACCCTTACCCCAAACCCTAAACCAGCCCAGAGACCCTTAGAAGCCTTTCACTGCCCTTCACTGCCAGCCCAGAGATCCTTAGAGGCCCTTAGAGGCCCTTCACTGCCCTTCACTGCCCTCAGCCCAAAGACCCTTAGAAGCCCCTTCACTGCCCTCGACTGCCCGCCCTTAGAGCCCTTTAGATGCCCTTCACTGCCCTTCACTGCCCTTAGCCCAAACAAAGACCCTTAGAGACCCTTAAAGGCCCTTCACTGCCCTTCACTGCCCTCAGCCCAGAGACCCTTGAGGCCCTTCACTGCCCTTCATTGCCCCCTAGAGACCCTTAAAAGCCCTTAGATGCCCTTCACTGCCCTTCCCTGCCCTTCACTGCCCTCAGCCCCTTAAAGGCCCTTCACTGCCCTTCACTGCCCCCTAGAGACCCTTTATAAAAGCCCTTAGAGGCCCTTCACTGCCCTTCCTTGCCCTTCACTGCCCTCAGCCTTAAAGGCCCTTAACTGCCCTTCACTGCCCTTCACTGCCCTCAGCCCAAAGACCCTTAGAGGCCCTTCACTGCCCTTCACTGCCCTCAGCCTAGAAACCCTCAAAAGCCCCTAAAGCCCTTCTTCACTCTTTCCTGCCCTCAGCCCAAAGACCCTCTTAGAGGCCCTTCATAAAGGGTCTCAGAGCTGCTCACTGCAGCTACTGTGCAAAAAATGTGGATGTTCATCTACGACACGGCCCGTACTGCACATACATCACAATGTACTTGTAGAATAATTTTTTATGCATGGAAAAGGACCACTGCCTTGGATTTGTCTGACAAGGAAGATGAACCGTGTTTTGCATCTTCTGTCAATCTTTTTAGAAGCTATTGGAAGCTTCGGGGTGCGTAAAACAGCGTGACCCTGCAGACTCTAGTGCGGAGAACAGGATGCCAAAGCATGCTTTCAAATTGAGAAGCCTTAGTCACTTGTACAATGCGAAAATTAGTGTGACATGTCGGGCTTCTGGATTCCTGTTTAGTAGCGAGGCAGGGTTTGCCCGAGCCACCTCCTCCTTCACGAGAGGGCTTGGGGCTTTGGTTTTCGTGGCACCGCACTACTCGGATGGTATAGGTGCGTGCTTCCAAATGGCGGCCTGCGCAACCGGAGGCCTAATTGAATGCGCTGAATATGTGCGCACACAAGCCAGCTTGTGGAGCATGGATGGCCCTGGCATTGCAACGGCATTACACAAGCAAGCCTTCCGAGAACGGACAGTAGCCAGCATCGTGCTGCCTGCGGAACGCAAAGTTGGGCTGGAACACCACCCCTGCATCAAGCGTGGGCTTTGAAGGCCACCTGGGGAGATAAGCGGGAGGTTTTTTACCGCACACTTCAGCAAGAAGGATGGGGGAGTCCCTCTTTCACCTCCAACTCCTACTCGGGCACCATTGTTAGTCTGCAAACGCGCGGCTTCGTCCTGGAGCCCCTGCCCAATGCTGTGTACTGTGTCCCCTTCCAGCCGGTGAGGGAAGGAGATGGGGTCGCCCAGTACCTCACCTGCTTGCTAGGGGACACCAGCATTAGGATGCCGCCCAAGCGGGGATCGGCTCAACGCGCTGACCCGGCTTTCGAACACAAGGCCGGCATACTGCGAGCCCCCCGTGGTCTTCACCTCCTACCGGTTCGTACGGGTAAGGCTGCCTCCGAAACTGCGATTGATGTGGACTCTCCGGGAAACAGCCCTGTGCCCGCGGGTAGTCACAGTCCCGACGTGGTAGTTGCTACTGCAGTCGAGGTTCCTACGCCACAGCAGTCGCCAGCCCAAGGCGAGGCTACCACAAACGCGCGCCATGGCGAGCGGTGGGGTACACCATGGCTCCAGCCTCGGGCCGCGAGGGGCTCCATTGCGGCAGCTGTCAGCCCGCCTCCGCCAGCTAGACGGGACGTTTCCCGAACCCCTTGCGGCACCCCAACGCGGGAGAGAGGACCACTGACGAAGGAGCCTGCAACGAAAGAGCATGCGGTTGTGCCGGCCGCGAGTCCTATTGCTCTGGATGCTTGTGTGACGACTCCCTCTAGTGAAGTTGATCACAGGATCGGAGGGGGTAGCGCCGCCTCGTGTCCACCCCGTAGTGGCGGCAACATTAGGGACCCGCCGCCTGGCGTACGACGTCCACCCAGCCCCCGGACACGGCCCACGCACACAGCATCTCCGGATGGGATTAGGACGGTTGAGGCGTCACAGCCCCCTTGCGCTAAGTCTCCCACGGACTCACTTGGCCTGACGGAACCAAAATCGGATCTCCCTATGCCTCCCCATGGCCTGACGCCCATCCCCGCCAGGCCTGTGCCCGCTGTCCAAGCTCGCAAGGAAAGTCGGCCTCTCGCTTTGGACGAAGACGGCTCTCAACAGCTGGAACCACCAAAAGCCAAGCCTCGAGGGCCTAGCGAGCCCAGCGGCACCCGCGATCCCAGCGCCCCAGCCTGCGCAACCATCATGCAGAGCAACACAGGCTCGGTCTGTGATCTCATGTGGCGCGCACTTGCAGCGGGACATCACTTTGGTAAGAATGTCAAACCTCGGCCCTACATGAACCTGCGTGACTCGCAACACCTCACAACACACTGCCAGCAGCTTCGGGCATATAGGGCCTATGAGGTGTTTTTGAACGGCATACCGAACCAGCTGCAAGACTCGGGTATGCTGCTCGGAATCGCTGACACGCTACTGCATCTGCCTGAAACGTTTCCGGCAGCGTATTTGAAGGTTTATGACCCTATCATCACGCAGTGCCTTAGATTGTCGGGGGCATTGCAGCATTTCGACCTTGCTGAAATGTTGGATTGCCCGGTCCCGCAGCTGGACAAAGCGAGGCTTTCGGAGTCCCTGGTGGGGTATGGCTTTCTTACCACAGCGCAGTACATCGCGGATCTTTTCTCTGCGGTGTCGGACTTGCCGAGTGTCATCAATGCCAGTTTTCCTGCAATGCTCAGCTACGCTGACCCAGATTATTGGCTGGGTGCACTTCTGCTCGCACCAAAAAGGTCCCCTGGAGCGTACGGCAGGGCTGCCCATTGTTCTTGGTTTTCCTGAATCTGACAATAAAATTACTGACCTGCAGATCAATGTGCCGCCTGCAGCCATGGTGGCCTTCTTGGCTGGCCGCGCTTATCGGTGTCCCACATGCCCTACTACCAAATATGTGATGGACGCGCACAGTGGACTGCCACAAGTCACTGGCCAAGCCTCCCAAGAAGCCTTGCAGGCATGGGCCGCAGCTGCTCAGCACACGGACGTGGAACGGCCAGGCTTGCCCAGCCCAGCCTGAATACGTTCCTAGGCATCACGCTGCAGGGCACACAGACACTTGGGCAAAAGCACTATCAAGAATTTAGGCCGGACCTCCCTCCTGCCCATTTCCTTGACGCCATCCGGCTTGCTCTTGCGGCCTCGGTGGCCAACCAAAACATTGAACAATTTTGGTCAGTTTTTAACTTGGAATGGCCTGACACTTCTCACAGAATGGCTGTTTTTCTACGGCGAGTGTTGCCCCTAGAGTGCTTGCTCTCCTCGCCCTGTGCTGCGCCTGTGGAAGTGAACACTGCAGCAACCTCGCCGGAGGTCGTCTGCATCTCTTCCGAAACTAACGAAGGCTCTCCCTGCCCGATGGATGACATGTCTGACGCGGAGGACGAACCCGAGGCACAGGTGAATGATTGGCGCTTCTCGGAGCTGCGAACCACTGACCTTGCAGCTTTGCGAGAAGTGGATGTCTCCGCCCCTTTCCGGCTGCCAGTCATCTTTGATGCGCAATGGAAAGGGATCAGCACCACACCCACCAAGCATGGGCCCCACCGTCCCCAAAATGCGTGGTATGACGCAGCCACTGCTCATTGGGCTGCCATTAAGGGGCTCATGCGAGCCAAACATCCAACCAAGCAGCGCCTCAACAGCTTCTGGTTTAGGATGTACTGTCATGGCACCCCCAAGGACCCTGAGCCCTCGGCCCTGCGTGCTGCAGTTACCTCCTTTCCCTTTCAGTATAAGGACGAAGGTGTTGTGCAGTACAGGCAAATCCAGGAAGCTGTCCGGGTGATGTGGCACGCGGCCCAAACCTCAATGACAAGATACATGCGTATCCCCATTCCGGACGGCATCCCTGAGTGGGGGGTTGAGGAGCAAGAGCTGCCTCCAATGCAGGTCATGCCTAGCCGAGGGAGGCGCTCCCATACCACCTCAGCTGGCCATCGCTCCCGGCGTCCGGACTGGGATGGCTCCTGGCAATAGACAGCAAACTGTCATCTGAAAGCTCCTCCTGACGCCACGCGAACGCACCATTGAGTCCTTTCATGGTCTGCTGCCTAGCGTGATGTGAGCCCTCACATCTCCTCACCGCTACATGCCGCAAGACTACCTCGGGATACTCTGGGTTTGGCAACCCTCTCGTGGCCTGTGCCACGGATTGATCGTGCTTGTCTTTTGTGTGCTTACAGCTTGCAGCTGCGAACACCCTTCTGGGTCGGCCCCGCGGTGTGCCTGTGGGAAAGGGGGCCTTTCTTTCGTGGTTGCTCCACTGGCCATCTGCCACGGACTGCCCTGGACCGGTCCTGCCTGGATGTTCCAGCTTTGTCATCGGTGAAACGGCCAATCTTCCTGTGCTACGACCGTGTGTGAACCCCTCGGACTTGAGTGTTGACCATCTCTCGTCTGGACGGTGACACCCCCGTGTCGTACAACGGCGTCATGCCAATTGGGAGAGACCAGCTAGGGGAGCTGCTTCTGGGCTGTGGACACCTACGCGGAGATAAGGTTCCCACTTCCCTGGCACTTGCCATCGAGCACCTGTGGACAACCTGGCCTTCACGAGAGCCGCCTGTGCTTGGGTTGCTGCGGGGTTCCCTGCCTGCTTGGGTGTATTTCTCTGCGCAGCCAGACATGACCACCTCCCCATCGGTAGGTGGCCAAGCGTGATGTGAGCCCTCACATCTCCTCGCCGACGTCGGTCGGTTTGGGCATGGAGGGTCTGATTCTGGTTATTGAACCCTCAACCCTCACCGGCCAAGGTGATATTTGCCGGGCGCGGCGCGTGGAGCGGCGCGGTAACCGCTTGAGAAGTCGCGCCCCTTCGGGGCGCCGCCGCAGGCGGCGCCCCCTGAGGCGCATAGCTCGGCCAGAAACCAACGAAAACGGTCGCCGCTTGAGACGCCGCGGCAATATAGGCGCAGCGCCCGGAGAAGTGCTACCGCTTGAGGCGCCGCGCAAATAAAGGGATCCGCGTTGAGGTCTCCAGAAGCAAGTATAGCAGCACCCTACAGCTTCATTGGTTGCAGAAACCCACCTCGCCAAATACCCCACGTCAACACCGAACCCCGAAACTGAACCCCGAAGCCTCCAAGCTTTGAACTCGCAAGCACACATCGAGACATCATTTCTGCAAGATACCCGAGCGCTTCATCGTCGAACAACAAACTGCAATGGGATTCGCCGGCATCCAGTTCCCGATCACTATCCGCCAACAATCCCACCCCAGCATCAGGAGCAAGCCGCTTTTTGGGCTGCTCGCACTGCTCTGCGACTTTCAAATATTCGGCTAGCGTTGACCAAGAAGCACGCCCAGGGTCGTCACGCTCCTTCTTTCGAAGTGAGCCGACGACTTGAAACATGTCGCTGCCGGACATCCAAAACTTACACTGAAAGGCACGAACGCGATGATGGAGCCCTCCTCCAAAGCATCAGCTTGCTTTGGAGTGCAGCATGGGTCGTGTTGGTGGTAGTTTCTTCCTGGCCTTTTATGCGATGCAGGACTTGGACACCAGAATCAATGAGTTGCGGGAGGCACGACGCGCTCTGAAGCGTGACGCAGCTGCCGCAGCCAAAGAGCTTAAATCGATGCGCCAGAAACGGACCAGGCCGGAACAAACTTGGAGTGTCTGGGGGTTGTGGTTATACATATGGGCTTCTTCTGTGAAAGTTCCTGTCTAAGGACATGTTAACTTTGTTGTCCTGCATGCTGGCTCAGAGTTGTGTGTGTGTAGTTGTAGGAACTCCGTAGTTGTGCCTTGGAGGCTCGACGGGAGTGCCGCTTTAAGTGGGAAAGCCTTTTTGAATTGCTTGAGTTGTAGGGATGTGTGTCTGGAAGCTGTAGAAGTGACTGTGCACGTTTTGCTTGCTTTAGGTGTAGTTGGGTAGGTCACGAGAACTCCCACTGACGTTTGAGTTTGTTTTGTGGCTGTGGAGAACACGTGGCAGAGCAGAGTTTTCACCTGTGTGTAAAGAGTTTCACTGACGAAGCCTCCGGCTTATGACTTTGGCTCAAGTCGTGAGAAAAAGAGGGTTCAGCGCGCTGCTGCTGTGTTTTCACATGGTAGCGGAGCATGTGTAGCACGCTCGTAGAAACTAGAAGCCATGGCTGACCCCGGGCTGTCGACCCCTGTGCCTGAAGACGAAGACGACGAAGCTTTGTTTGGCCCCGGTGGTGCCCAGGACGGGCAACAACCGGCAACACAACCCCCTGGAGCTTCTGCTCCAGCGGGAGGACCCGCCACGGTCGTCGGACTTGACCCTCAACTCCAGCAGATGATGGTCCAGATGATGCAGAGTCAGCAAATGATGATGCAGAATCAGCAACAGACACTTCAAGTTCTGGTGGCAAAGATGGAGGCCGACGAGAGAAGGAGACGTGAGCAGGAAGCATTGTCGGCAGCTGTGAGCAACCCATTTGGGGGTGCTTCAAGTGCAGCAGCTGCTGGAAGTCCTACGGCAAAGGCTTCTGCTCCTCCACCGGCGCCATCACAGAACCTGCATGTTGGAAGTAACCGTGCAGAGAAGTATCTGCCAGCATTGCCGCTCATCGATAATGTGTCGATGGGAAAAGGGCGTGTGAGAGAGCTGGAGGAGTACCATCGGTGGTGCGAGGTGCTTGCTTCCTGGCTGGCGTTGATAGACGACAACTATGTCAATGAGTTGCGCCAGGCAATGACGCATGACCGTGAGATCAAGCAGTCTGACATGGCAGTTCCGGTAGCCTCGCGTTCGGCAAGGTTGTTTTACTACCTGCAACAAAGTCTGCAGAAGTTCGAACGTGGGATGGAACTGGTGAGAAGCACGTCGATGCGTCAAGGACAAGCTGCTTGTGGTTATGAGGTGATGCGTCAAATGCACCAGACCTTCAGCATTGTCTCTCGCATGGAGGCCATTGCTGTGAGAGATGAAGCCCTTCGCCTAACTTCGAAGGCGAGTTCGTACAAGCGACCGCTTGACTGCGTCCGCTTCCTTGAGGACGAGCTTGGGAAGGTAGACCAGAAGCTGCATCGGTTCCCTGAACTGAGGCTTGGAGCATCTGATCGTTCAACCCTTCTTCTTCAATCTGTCAGCCCAGAGTGTAGGCATTACGTTGTCCTGCATGGGAAGTCTGGGAGCTGGGAGGAACTGGTTGAAAGCATCCGGTTCTACGAGGAGCAAACCCGATTGTGTGATGCTGGTTCGCTGAATGCAGTTGGGGAGCGCGGCCTCTGCTGGAACTGTGGCAAATCAGGCCATATGAGTTGGCAGTGCCCCGACAAGAGCTCTGGCAAAGGGAAGAAGAGGGATGAACCGAAAGGTGGCAAGCCTTCTGGTTCCAAGAATCGAGAGAAGAGTCCTAAAGGCAAGGGCAAAGGCAAAGGGAAGACAGACAAAGGAAAGGGTGGAAAGCCCAAGGGGAAGCCCAAGAACAAAGGAAAGCCCAAGGGCCGAGCTGTGGAAGACGAGCAGTCTGACCAGGTGATGGCGATGCGGTCTCATCATCTGAGTGGCTTGGGTCCGGGGACAAGAACTAATGAGCCCAATGAAGCTGAGCCCCCTCGTCTCACCATGACGAACGGAGAGATCGAGAGACTGAACCAGTCCTCCTCTAGGAATAGCTCTTTCGCATGGCTCATTGATAGTGGAGCCACCTGCCACGTGTTGTCAGAGAGTGCGTTGGGTTTTTACGAAGTCGTCAAGGAGCATTCGGGACCTCTTCCTGTGCTCATGAGTGCTAGCGATACGCCCATGGAATGTGTCAAGTTGGTTGACATTCGGGTGAAGTTTGGGAAGTTGGGGCCCGTAGTGCTTCAACAGGTCTTGGTTTGCAAGATTGGTTTCAACGTAGTCAGTTCTTGGCAAGCATCCCTTTCGGGATGGAGTACCTGGCTCACCTCAGAGCCTGGAGCAAGCGGGCGCGGGCCAAGGAGATCGGCCCCACCAAGGCAAAGCCGAAAGGAAGAAGAAGCAAAGGGGACTCACCCAAGCCGGGGTGGAGCCCGAACGACGACGCGATGGAAGTGGATAAGGTGCAGAAGAAGGCACCGCCCAACGTAGGAAGAGCATTGGAGGTGACGCCTTTTAAGTTTTTGTTGCGAGCATTTTCAGTGAAGCAACATGTGGGGGAACATGAGCTGCATGAGCATGTTTTTCAGGAGCGTTTGAGTGGATGTGAGCATGCTGCAGTTGCAAAAGTAGGAGTAGACTTGGAAACCCCACCCTCTGCATGTTGTGCTGAAGCTTTATGTTCCGCCGCAGCTGTTTTGCTTAAGTCTGCAAGCAACACGTCTTTGGAGAAGCAAACCAGTAGGGACACACGCTGTGGAGACAAGGGTTTTGAGTGCGTAGGGGTAGGGCCTGTGCCGCTCCAGCCTCAGAGTGTTTGCATTAGGAGTAGGAGTGTCTTGCGTGTAGGACGTAGGAGTGACTTGCACCCCAGCGCTTGTGTGCCTGAGTGTTTGTTGGGACAGAGTGAAGAGAGGAAGTGTGCCTTTCGGAGCTTGCGTTGGCCAGGAGTGTTTCTGAAAGCATTGCTGGTGTTGTGTGCTCTAGGAGTGTTTTGCTCAAAGCCTGGAGCCTTTGTAAGGGACCTTGTAAAGGATGGAGCTTCCGGAAGCCTCGCCTCCGCTCTGTCTTGTGAACTCCCAAAGTGGGAGTGTGGCCCAGGTGGAAGCCTTTTCGACGAGCATGATTGCTCGTCTTGCGCACCGTTTCGAGGAGGAAGGTCAGCTGTCTCTTTCGAGGCAGCTTCTCCAAAACATCGACCTTTTTACCTCGACCCCTGGCTCGGTCGAACGGCTGTTGGGGATTCCAGCCTGCCTTGGGGAGTTGGAGACACAGGAGTTGGTGATCAATACAAGCGGCATTGCGGTGAAGCAACCTATGCTCATTGCCGAGCTGCGAGCCATTGCTGCTCCGACGGTGGACCAGTCGGTTTTGACGGACACCCTCGTCGAAGAGCACGACCGTCGTGCAGAGTATGCAAGGTATGGCTATGTTTTGACCACCATGGGGGTGGTGGTCGCCGATGTGACTGCTACCATCCGCCAACCGCACCTTCCATGCGAGCAAAGGGGGTACTGGCGCAACAATCAGGTTGGCATCCAGCTCACCTTGAAGAAATTCCTTCTGTACCTGGAGGCGATTCGAGAGTTGCGGTGCCATCCTGCTCAATACCAGTTGTTCGAGGCAGGGCTAGCAAGCATTCTGCCAAACGAGCTCAAGGTCGAGCGTGTGCCGGCTGCCGACTTGAGAGCGCTTTTGGCGGACGTGCTCGTCCAGAGCAACCGCCGGGTGACCTTGGCTGCTCAACCGCCAACTATAATACCGGATGTTGCACCATCCGCGTCGGGTGGCACGGCACCGCCTCTTCACAAAAGTGCCCCAGCTCCACCTCCTTCGGGGTGGGCTTTGCTCAACCAAGCGCGTGCAAAAGCCGAGGCAATGATTCGATTGCATGCCGACATGAAGAGAGCTGCAACAGCCGAGGTGGCTCCATCATCGTCGACGGGCCCCGCTTTTCCACCAGGGCCTCCGGCTTTCTTGCCGTTCAGCCCTCCTTCCCCGCTTACGCCGTCCGTCTTTTCCTATGCTCCATCTTCGGCACCAGGCACGCCTATGGAAGCAGGCATGCCTCTAACTCCGCCTCCTCTACCTCCTCCATCTTGGGCACCAGGCACGCCTATGGAAGCAAGCCTGCCTATACCTCCGCCTCCTCTACCTCCTCCATCGACACCGCACCCAGATACATTGAGGGAGCTTGCGGGCGAGGTTCCAATGGAGGTCGAGATGCCGATGACGCCCGTGGAGGCATTCGGTGCTCCTGGGACCCCTATGGACGTGAGTTCCGAGGTCCCAAGGGAGCCAATGGTCGGTGGGATTGGAAGTCCGGGGAGCGCTTCTCCTTTGACCCCGCCGGCAGAGACGAGTATGGTGGTTCCAAATCCCCCGATGGACAATTCGGATGTGGGAAACTCGGGGTCCGAGATGGATTGATATGCTTGGGTATGGGCCCTGAGGGCCTAAAAGCCGGGCATGAGTTGCTCCGATCTTCGCTGCAATGCACAAAATTGGTAGGAGTAGGTCTGAAAGCCCTGCTGTTTGCAGTAGGAGACTGGCTGTGTGCATTAGGAGGTAGGGTAGGAGCGTTTGAGTGCTTGGTAGGTGACTGTGAGTGCAGCCTGCCTGCCGCGAATGGGTCTGCACACTGTCCCTCTGTGCCCAGGTCTTCATGGAAAGGAAGCAGTGCCTTGGCTTTAGGGTTGGTTCTGGGTTTGGTTTTCAGAGGTTGGCTGCGTAGGTGCGTGAAGCTTTTGAGTGTGCGCCGTAGGAGTAGGCTGAAGTTTGTGCGTGTAACTTTGGTAGGACGTGTGCCACGTAGGTCTTGGAGTGTTGT